GTTTTTTATTAGCTGATTTTTGGAAGTAGATCACCAGACCTTTCTTCTTGATCTGACCAAGAAATCCAACACTGTCCAACAAACGGACAGACAGTGATGACCCTCAGACCTACAGAAGAATAATCTTTGAGGATAGGGCTCTGATCTGCATTTTAAACAAGATAGGCACTTTCTTCTATACAGTGATGTTTAGAATCCCTCTCTCTCTCTCTCTCTGGATTCGCATATATAAACGATCTTACTCATATAAAAGAAACCCTGGTGATATAATGGTTAAGCCTTAGGGACTCCAAGAAAAGTTCCGTCTCCCTTATCTCTGCTCATTGGAAGTTCTTTGCCATTATCTTTGTATTTTATTCTTTTCCTTCTCTTCCTAGTCTACCTTTTCCATCTTTCCCTTGATTTTCTAACTTTCTTCATGGGGTACACTTTCCATAGAGCTTAACCTGCTCAATCTCAGATCCAATCTAGTAGGTGAGCAATATTTTGGAAAACATATTTCTTCAAGTCTCTAGGCCTTTTCTATAGATAAATGTATATTGAGAAGACGTGCATTCTATAGGAAATCCTGAGTCTATGCACAAAGACTTTCTAGCACAGTAGTTATGGATGAGAACTCTGGAACCCGTTTCCACCTCACGGTAGTAGTTATACAATGAAATCACTGAATGGTGTCTTGTTTTTCCACATCTTGAAAGTTTTCCATTTATGATAGGGTGCAGTTTTAGAATTTTCTATTGCATGTTTTAGTGAAAATATTTATGTTTTCCTTCTCTGACAGGTTTTTACCTTACATAATTTCTCATCTGTAAAATTGTGGTGATAGTGTTGTTGTTGTTGTTAGTGACCCTATGCACAAAGGAGCTAAGTACTGCCCTGTCTGAACATTCTTGCAATTGTTATTACGCTTGAGCCCACTGTTGCTGCCACTATGCCAATCACCCTTGTGGGAGGTCTACCTCTTTCACTACTGCTCCACTTTGCCAAGCATGATATCCTTCTCCAGGGACTGCTACCTCCTGATAAGATGTCTGAGGTATGACAGAAGTCTTGTCATCCTGGCTCCTAAGGAGCATTCTGACTGTACTTCTTCCAACACAGATTTGTTTGTTCTTCTGGCATTCCATGGTACTTTTAATATTCTTCCTCCAACACCATAACATCAATACATTAATTCTTCTACAGTCTTCCTTATTCATTATCCAAGTTTCATATGCATATGAGGCTATTGACAATACCATGGCATACCTTAGTCCTCAAACTGATATCTTTGCTCGTCAACACCTTAAAGAGGTCTTGTGCTTAATACAATACGTCGTTTGATTTCTTGACTGCTGCTTCTATGCATGTTGATAGTGGATACCAGCTATAATCAATTCTACATTTATCACAATGTTATTTATTGGTCCCTTGGTAAGGATTATTTTCTTTATGTTGAAAGTGCAATTCATACAGAAAGCTGTGGTCTTTGAACTTATCAGTATTTTAACCATGCTTCACTTTCAGCAAGCAGGGTTGTATCATCTACATATCTCAGGTTGTTAAATGCATCTTCCTCCAATTCTGATGCCATGTTCTTCTTCATGTAATTCAGCTTCTCAGATTATTTCTTCAGCATACAGACAGTCTAGTGAAAGAATACAATCCCAGGCACACACCTTGTCAAATTTTAAAACATTCAGTGTCCTCTTTGAATGACTGTCTCTTGATTTATAAACAGATTCTTCATGAATTCAGTTTAGTGTTCTGGAATACCTGTTCTTTGTAATGTTATCCGTAGCTTGTCAAGATCCACACAGTCAAAAGCATTTGCATGGTTTGTAAAGCACAGGGAAACATCGTTCTGGTATTCTTTCCTTATAATCAAGATCCATCTGATGTCAGCAATAATATACATCATTCCATGTCCTCTTCTGAATGTGGCTTAAACCTATGCGAGTCGTAGGTCAATATACTGTTACAGACATTTTTGAATTTTTATCTTTAGCATGTGATATTAATGATACTGCCTGATGATTCCCACACTCTATTGGATCACATCTCTTTGGCACAAATATGGATTTCTTTCAATCAGTTGGCTAGGTAGCTCTCTATTAAATTTTTTGGCACAGATGAGTGAGTGCCTTTAGTTTATTGAAAGATTTCAATTTGTATTCCATCCCTTCCCAGAGCTTTCTTTGTTCTTTGCCAATGCTTTCAATGCACATTGGACTTCTTTCAGTTGAACATCGACCATTTCTTTTTATTACAGTAATATTGTGTCTTCCTTTAATTTTCTTTTGATGCTTTTTGCATCAAATATTTCATTATTTTGCCCTGGATAGGGTTTCCAGAAGTCTTGGTATGGTGCTGGAGTATAAACACTGAACTGCAAGGTTGGTGGTTCAAACTCATCAGTCGCTTTTCAGAAACCGTATACAGTGTCACTGTGAGTTGGAACCAACTCAATGACACTTACCAACAACAACACAGGGTTTCCAAGGAGCAGCTGGTGGATTTGAACTGCCAATATTGTGGTTCGCAGTCCAGTGCTGATCGTGCAGCGCCACATCAGGAGTCCATTTTGTCCATAGAATCCATCTATATTGCAAATGAAGTTTTGCTTCAGTTCTGTCCGTTTCAAGACATGCAGAGTATGTTCTTCTCCTTTGGTTTTCTAACTTCAGGTCTTTACGCATTTCATTATAATACTTGACTTTGTCTTCCTGAGCTGCCCTTTGCAATTTTCTGATCAGCTCTTTTGCTTTCTCTTTTCTTCCATTTGCTTTAGCATCTTTATGCAGCGAACAAGTTTCAGAGTCTCTTCTGACATCCATTTTGATCTTTTCCTTCTTTCTTGTCTTCTTAATGAAATTTTGCTTTCTTCCTCTATGATGTTCTTTATGCCATCCCATAATTCTTCTGGTCTTTGGTCATTAGTGAGTGTCTAATGCATCAAATCTATTCTTGAGATGATCTTTAAATTCAGGTGACATATTTTCAAGCTCAAAATTTGGTTCTTGTGGATTTACTTTTATTCTCTTCAACTTTAGCCTGAACTTTCATCTGAACAATTGATGGTCTGCTTCCACAGTCTGCCCCTGTCCCTGTCTCTTCCCACAGATAGAGCTGACAGCTTGCGATTTCATATACAACCTCCTGGAACCTTCATTTCTCTTGTTGGTTGTTGATTTCTCACACATGTGCACCACCTCAAAGACTGTGGTTCAAGACCCAGGTCTGGCTCTGAAGTGCTATGTTAAGGTTAACAGCCAGACCAAGTAAGTTGTTATTGTGCCTTCCCTGTATGCTAGTTTTTTCCACTGTGCTAGAGCTAGCTAGGGTTTATGGACTTATGCTACCAGGCTCTGCAGACTTGAGGATAGAGTAATTCCTATTCACTAAAATATAAGTCTTTTTCTAAGTTAAATTTACTGCCCCATGTGTGCCTTGCAAGACAATTATGTGTCCAGTCTTCTTTCCCCTTCTTGGTTGTATGTTTCTCTAACAGGATAGTAAACCATATAACTGTCAGACTCAAAATGGCCAATACCAGCCCATTTCAGCTCACTGATACCGAGGATGAAGTCCTGGTGTGGTGCTGTAGGATAATCACTTGACCATAAGGTTGGTTTCAACTGCAAGGTCAGTGGTTCTAATTCACCATCAACTCCTTGGAAACCCTATATTCAGAACCAACTTGACGGCACTTAACAACAACAACAAAAAATACTTTATTTATATATTTCATTTTTGAGAACTTCCAATTTTCTTAGAGTCAATGTTTACAGATGTTTCTCCTCATTTTGAGTTATGCCCCATCAGCAAATGAAGGTCCCGAAAGTTTTACTCAATTCACATCATCATGGTCAACTCTTCCCCAGTTGTATTTTGAGTGCCTTTCAACCTGAAGGGCTCATCTTCTGGCACTGTATCTGACAATATTCTGGTACTATTCATTATGTTTCAGTATTCAATATTCTAGTGCTAACAGTGTCCCACTGCTATTTAAAAGGTTGCTAAACATTCAGATGTTGTCTGCCTCTCCTTCTTCCTAGTCTGTCTTAGTCTGGAAGCTCAGCTGAAATCTATACACCATAGGTGACTCTGCAGGTATTTAAAATACTGGTGACATGCAAGCCACCACAGCATGACAAACTGACAGGTAATGGGGGGTTGTTGTGAAGATTAAATGAGCTGCTTGTGGTGGTGGTGGTGTGTGTTGATCAGTTCTGACCCCAGAGTAGAGCTGCCTTGTAGGATTTCCAAGACTCCTATTATGGCACTGTAGCATCAGCACTGCGCTATGAACCACAAGGTCAGAGTTCAAACCCACCAGCTGCTCCTCAGAAACCCTCTATAGGGGTCTCTATGAGTTTCAACCAACTCAATTGCACTTAATAACAACAGCAACAATCTGTATGGAGTCCTGGTATGGTGCTACAGGATAATGTGCTGGACTGCAAGCTCGGCAGTTCACACACACCATCTGTTTCTCAGAAGCCCTATACAGAATCACTATGATCCAGAACTGACTTGACATCAACAAATCTTTATATAAGCAGACAACATCTTTCTCCAAGGAGCTGCTCATGAAAAGAAACTACGGACCTTTATGTTGGCATCTGAGCAGTTACCTTGATGTTGTAATGGTTTAAGTGCTCAGGTGCTAACCTAAAGATTGGCAATTTGAATCCATTCAGTTGCTCTGTGGAACTAAGATCGGATCATCTGAAGATTACAGCCTACAGAATCCTATGGAGTTCTTCTACTCTATCCCAGGAAGTCACTAGGAGTTGAAATTGACTAGATGGCACCTAACAACAGCAGCAGTGACATATATAAAGCTAGACTGTGGGTGTTTACTGTGTTTACCATCGTCATCGTCTGATAGCAACATCAGCTTTCCCTGAAATGGCAGACCTGGAACTGACTTGATAGTACTTAACAACAACAATACTTATATTTATAACTTCTAAACCATTTCTTTGTTACTATTTTTATGTCTCTCATGAATTCAGGTTTCCCTGGGACTTCTACATGCCCATGCAACACATATTCTGTGGCCTCCAGAGCGCTGGCAGAAATTAGAATCAGTTCTTCCTCCTGAGCGTTTACCAGTCCAGAGGGAAGAGGATTGATTGCACGAATCACCTGACCCTACACCACCAATTACAGATGGGTGATGGAGAAGAAGAACATCCAAAGGAAAGCTTTCAACAAGATGACACTGTGCAAGAAACATATTACATTAACTTGATATGCATTATACCTGATTTAATGTTTGTAGCCCATTGTCCAATACCAAAAAAATTCAGATATTAGTATAAAAATATCATATTTGTATGTTATCATACTTATTCTATTGACAGTCAAATTTTTATGTTGGTACCAGCTGCTGGAATGAGTATTTTGATGATGAATTGAGTAGTTTGGCATGCACAGTAAAAAAGTAACATGAAGAAATGCATATTAGACACAAAGTGAAAGGAATTAGATTGTGAATAGTGGTGCCTAAAATGCAGTGAATACCATTTAGAAAGAACTGGAAAGTCATGTACAAATAAAACATTGATTTGTTCAGGTCCTGTTTTGGCGTTTTATTTTCATTTAACCAGTTCACCCATTTCTAAGTAATATGCGATCTCTTTTGAAAGTAAGTGAAGTAATGGAGACCCAATTCTATTTGGTATTTCAAAATAATCAGATCTTTCTTATAGGCCCTTTTTAATTCAAAACTTTGAGTGATTTCATGCCTGTTCACATTGATGAGTAAACCTATTTATCAACATTAAGTTACCATTTTGATAAAATGTTCTAAGTGAAGTGGGAAAAATCATTCTCTATCAAGCAAGTTTTCCCCCTTATATGATTTTTCAGTGTTCTTGTCTCTAAATGGGAAAAAGATATTTTCTGCTCCCATAAAGATTTACAGCCTCAGAAATCCTATGTTGGATCACTGTGAGTCAGAATCCTTTCTATAGCAGTGAGTTCAGAGTTTTGTTTCTATAGTGCTAAAATCATCACTTATAAAGTGGGGCTAATAGCATAACAATGGATTCTGCGATTTGTGTAGCTAAAGAGGTAAATCCCTATATCAGAGTCTATATTTATGGTACTTTTCTTTCCTGTTCCCCCTTCTGCTGCCTAGAGGTTATTTGTGACAGAAAGAAAGCCTGTAGATCAATACCATCTTTATGCATGGTCTCTTTTTCTTCTGTTCAGGAGCAGACAGGATCCCAAATAATGACCAGCCATCTTGCAAATGCAAGTGTTAACTCATTCTTATTTAGCAAAGAACAGAAAGAGCAATGACAACAACTGAAAACATATGCACATTAAGAACATACATTACGCTAGCTAGCAATTCATTAGCATTATAGTAGCTTGTTCAACAAACATCAATGAGCAATTATCAACAAGGTTGGCCAGGATTATCTTTTTAAAAAGTAAATCTGCTTAAAATCTTTCAGTGACTCTTCATTGTCCTTCTCAATTCAATTCACCAGCATGAACCTCCTGCTCTGCCTTTAACTGCAATGTCTCAAATACAGCTTGTAAAGTGCCTTTGTAAAGTATTATATTAAACTACAGTTTATACATTCTGACTTTCTATAAACAAATACAAAGTGTTCTTTGTTTTAAATTCTGCTCTATTTTTAAATGACAAAAAATTCATTTGATTTGATCAATTGAGCATCAAATGTCTTACAAATTTACAGTTAAGTAAGTGAATCTATTACGAGCTCTGGTAGCACAGTGGTTGTGAGTCTGGCTGCTAATATCACCGTCAGTAGTTTGAAACTACCAGCAGTTCCGCAGGAGATAGATGAGGTTATTTGCTCCCATAAAGATTTACAAACAGGCTTGGAAACCTCACAAAGGGTTGCCATGAGTCGGAACCAAGTCCATGACCACCACCAAGTGAATCTAACCCAAATAGAGTAGGATCACAGGAAATTCATCAGTGAAGAAGGAATGTGTTCTAGGCTCTAATGATTTTTTAGAAATAGGAAGACTATGAGTCGGAATCAGTTTAATAATGGCAGTGGGCTTGGGGTTTTTTTGTGTGCGTTTTGTTTTTTTCCTCTTTTGTTTTGTTTTGATTTGGTTTGGTTTATAATACTTAGGCCACAATCCTAGCACTTTAACATCCCAGAAATCATAGCAAATGTTATTTATCTCAATATATAGAAGTTCCCAAGAAGTTTTAGAGACGGTTGCTTTATCTCCCTGTTTGTATTATACAATGAAACACTGGATTTGCCATCATCTTGTCATAACCACTTTTTTTCCATTCCTCACTGTTGTTCACATGGATTCCATTCCTTTTGGAAATCTTCAAGTTACCAGCTGGCTCTATTCTTACAGTGTTAAGCAGACTTCATGCCAATTTAAAGTCTTCTTTTTTATTACAACTTCGAATTTTCATAGATTGAAGTTTAAAGAGGGAGCAAGCCTTTAATTTTTAAAAGTTTGTATAGCAATAAAATAATTTTATGAAGTTTGTTTCAGGGTTTATATTAACACCTGCATACACTCATAGTTATCACTGTATGTGGTCTTTATAATTGTAAGAACATAATTCCAACTAAATCTACTGAATAAAGAAGTTTTAATAAAATTCTTCCACTGTAAAAATTGGAGATATTTCTTAGGGACTTCTAAGGGCTCTTGCTTAATGAGTTAGACTCCATAAGGGGATGTTACTATAGGATCCTAAAATACATGGCAGGAGGATACATTAATAAAGTATTTATACTTATTCATGACAGAATAAATTTGAGTCATTCACTCTATTTTATATCTTAGAATAAACGTTAGCTGAAAACTAGAGATTTTGTCATGGGCATGCTTTTCTTGGAAATCATCACTATCATCTCAATCTGCAGTTTCTCTTCTTAATCTCTGACTATTTAGTTTCTAATTGGATGACAGTTAAACATTTATAATCTAATTGAAATTTATATCTTCAGGGGATTCATTTGTATTATCATCTGGATAACTAATATCCTTGTATTAATAATAAATGAAACAAATGACAGATTTTACATTTCCCTTCAAAAAGTTCTTCATAATCATTATTTGATCACTCATGGATATCTTCACATAAATTACTACTGAATAATCTTGTTAATGTCCTCCACAATTGTTGGTAGGTGTCTTTGAGTCACTTACGACTCATAGCAACACAACACCTCACACAATCCTTGTTACATTTGCTGCCACTATGCCAATCCATCTCACTGGGGATCTATTTTTTTGATGACCCTACATGCTACCAAAAATAATGTCCTTCTCCAGGGACTGGTACCTCCTGCTAATATATCTGACATATAAGACATAAAGTCTAACCATCCTGGTTTCTAAGAAGTATTCTGACTGTACTTCTTCCATATCAATGATACAGTCTATGAAATAGGATGTTACGTGATTTTGACATTGTGCAAATTCCATATTATATAGGCTGTCCTCAGATTATGATCAAGTTCTATTCCTTAATCTGCCTTTAAGTCAAATTTGTACATGTCAGAAAAATTAGATTCATGTCTAATGTCAGTTAAATATCTTAGTGTATAGAATATAATTGTACCTTTCTATTCATAAAAAAGGAATGCTTCCAGATACACTAAAATAGTTTTAATATAAAATATAGTAATGAATATCATGTTTTGATGTACATTGAGAACTAGTGCCCATTTGTTAATAGGAACCATTGTATGTGTCTCAAATTGCTAATTTAATAGACTTTACAGAGGTGTGGTTGGATGTTGCCCTACCTGACATTATGAGGCACATGATTATATGAGTCTTGTATTTCGTCGCTTAAAGATCTAAATCCTTCATGTATCACTATCATTTGATTTACATACTTTTAGTGAGATTATAATTAATGAAATGGATTTCCCTTAGCTCTCATTTAGTTGCTAAATTTAAATGCCTACTCTTCCAAAGATCAAGAGGTTTTTATATCTTCTCCATTTTTCAGCGGCAGTCACATAGACTTTCTATCAAAATTGGAAACCTTTACAACTAAAACTAATTTTTCTCATTAAGTTAGGTAGCTATGAGTATACATTAATTTTTACTGAATTTAATTTTCATATGATTTTTTAAGTAAGGTCATTAAATCTCATAAATGGGATCAAGTTACTGAAATTATATGATGGCCTGACATATGTCTAATAGATGAGATCATTTAAATGATTTGGGCTTTTAATGCTTGAATTTTGGGTTTCTCAGTACTTCTAATTTTCCCTTTGAGAGAAAAAAGTATTGATGTTTACTAAGTATTGCTTTCTTATGAACTTCTCTCTTACACATCCAGTCATTCTGATTTTCCCAAACAATTATTGATAAAGTAGAAGAGTTGACTCCCTAATGCCCTCCTGTTCCCAACAACACTATGGTGCTATGCAATGGCACCTACCAAGGAGCAAACCTAGATAGTGAATTGATGGTAATGGTAATGATGACTACAACTGTTATTTATTGAAAGCTTCCCATAACTTAAATGTTGCTCTAAGTGATTTCATTCTCTCAGTAATGTTTATCTGTTGTTGTTATGTGCCATCAAGTCAATTCCGACTCATAGCGACCCTGTACTAGTCCTAGGAGTGGCTAGTGAACTTGAACTGACAACCTTGCGGTTCAAACTGACTTTACAGTCCTGCACATTCACCCACATCATCATGACTGCCAATGCCTACCTAAGAGGTTAGTATTCGTATTATTAAGAAGGCTGAGACTACAGCGGTTACATGATTTGTCTAGGGTCACATAAGAAGTTAGTGACAGGAGTTCAGTGTCTGTGACATGAAAATTCTTTATTTTCCCTTTACTTAGTGGTTTCCTAATTGGAATCATTTTTGCAATCTCCTGGGGAGCCTTAAAAAAAAAGCAGCTAATAATGGATACTGATTCCACTTAGGCTTTAACTAGAGAGGTGCTTGAGGCAGAAGCAGTAATTTTTTTTCTCTCTGAGGGTTTTCTGGCACTTCTTCTTTTGCTCTTGATGGGTATGGTTACTCTTGGAGTACATCATAATTTTTCAGGGAGTGTGGGGCAAATTCTAGATCTTCCTAAACTGATCAGCTTAATTTATTTCTTATTATAGAAGAAAGGCACACTTTACCAATAT